GCGGCTGTTGCGGCGTTGCGCCAGCATATGTCCCAGGCAGCACGGCAGCAATGTTGCGGCCCGTTGCTGCCTGTTGCGGCATATAAGCCGTGTTGCGGCTGCTGCGGCGTTGCGCCAGCATATGTCCCAGGCAGCACGGCAGCAATGTTGCGGCCCGTTGCTGCCTGTTGCGGCATATAAGCCGTGTTGCGGCTGTTGCGGCGTTGCGCCAGCATATGTCCCAGGCAGCATGGCAATACTGTTGCGGCCCGTTGCTGCCTGTTGCGGCTTATAAGCCGTGTTGCGGCTGTTGCGGCGTTGCGCCAGCATATGTCCCAGGCAGCACGGCAGCAATGTTGCGGCCCGTTGCTGCCTGTTGCGGCATATAAGCCGTGTTGCGGCTGTTACGGCGTCGCGCCAGCATATGTCCCAGGCAGCACGGCAGCACTGTTGCGGCCCGTTGCTGCCTGTTGCGGCATATAAGCCGTGTTGCGGCTGTTGCGGCGTTGCGCCAGCATATGTCCCAGGCAGCATGGCAATACTGTTGCGGCCCGTTGCGGCCCGTTGCTGCCTGTTGCGGCATATAAGCCGTGTTGCGGCTGTTGCGGCGTTGCGCCAGCATATGTCCCAGGCAGCATGGCAATACTGTTGCGGCCCGTTGCTGCCTGTTGCTGTCTGTTGCGGCTTACAAGCCGTGTTGCGGCTGTTGCGGCGTTGCGCCAGCATATGTCCCAGGCAGCATGAATACTGTTGCGGCCCGTTGCTGCCTGTTGCGGCTTATAAGCCGTGTTGCGGCTGTTGCGGCGTTGCGCCAGCATATGTCCCAGGCAGCACGGCAGCAATGTTGCGGCCCGTTGCTGCCTGTTGCGGTTTACAAGCCGTGTTGCGGCTGTTGCGGCGTCGCGCCAGCATATGTCCCAGGCAGCACGGCAGCACTGTTGCGGCCCGTTGCTCCCTGTTGCGGTTTACAAGCCGTGTTGCGGCTGTTGCGGCGTTGCGCCAGCATATGTCCCAGGCAGCATGGCAATACTGTTGCGGCCCGTTGCTGCCTGTTGCGGCTTATAAGCCGTGTTGCGGCTGTTGCGGCGTTGCGCCAGCATATGTCCCAGGCAGCACGGCAGCAATGTTGCGGCCCGTTGCTCCCTGTTGCGGTTTACAAGCCGTGTTGCGGCTGTTGCGGCGTCGCGCCAGCATATGTCCCAGGCAGCACGGCAGCAATGTTGCGGCCCGTTGCTCCCTGTTGCGGTTTACAAGCCGTGTTGCGGCTGTTGCGGCGTTGCGCCAGCATATGTCCCAGGCAGCATGGCAATACTGTTGCGGCCCGTTGCTGCCTGTTGCGGCTTATAAGCCGTGTTGCGGCTGTTGCGGCGTTGCGCCAGCATATGTCCCAGGCAGCACGGCAGCAATGTTGCGGCCCGTTGCTCCCTGTTGCGGTTTACAAGCCGTGTTGCGGCTGTTGCGGCGTCGCGCCAGCATATGTCCCAGGCAGCACGGCAGCACTGTTGCGGCCCGTTGCTGCCTGTTGCGGCGTTGCGCCAGCATATGTCCCAGGCAGCACGGCAGCACTGTTGCGGCCCGTTGCTGCCTGTTGCGGCTTTGCGCCTGCGTATGTCCCAGGCAGGCACCACTGTTGCGCCCATTGCTGATTTTGGTCCGCAACGTGACAGTGACGGTTAAAGCCGAACTTGGTACAGATTGAGCCACTTCTGTTTTATGCTGCCTCGACCGGCTGCTTTGCAGCCTTCCTATAAAACCAGCCGGTGTCTCTCTAATACCGCGATGAAACAAGAAAGACAGCGGATTATCGTTGGTAATGTACGTGGTATCTCCGTACAGTAATGTTACGTTATTTCACATTGATTTTCGTACGTAATGTATCTGCGAAAGCAAACTGCAGACTTTGCATGGCTGCATTTCGCCCGGTTAGTTTTTCTCCTGTACGGGACAAGCAGTGGGAGATACGGTCGAATCTATCTGTAACCTCTGGATGTCTCGAATAAAAGCAGTTTACTTACCGTGAAAACGTAGTTAATCGCATGTTAAACGCAGACTGTGGACAGTCGTTTTGCTATTCAGCTTGGTTTCGTCTGCTCAGTAGAGCCATTTGTAGAATCGTTGTATAACATAGCAATCTTATACTACATTAAATTTAATTTATTATTAGTTTTATGGTGACCACTTCGCGAAGCATTAAGCAACCGCACACGTGAACCGGCGTTATTGATAGTTCATCATGACTGCAACTCGAAAGCGTAAACTTAAGTGAACGTTTTCGATTTGGTGATTGGAGGAATATGGACATTCATTGTTATGCGAAAGGCAGAAGATCCACCCGCTACCAGTTTGGTCTGTGTCAGGTATGAAGCTTACAGATGTTGCAAAACTTGCAGTCACAGAAATCAGCGATCCGAGTTACATTTGCTAAACAACAGTTAGAAAATTACTGGCTGAAATTGTGTTTCCCGATTGAGCAGGTATGCGGAGCCAGAGCTGGCGGAAATCATTATGGGGCAATCACGAGCGAAGAATGCAAGGTCAGCCACGCCAGAGCATTCGTATCGGAAACTTTTTCCATCCTAAGAAAGCCTACAGCATTTCTATCTTTAACAAATGGGTGCCGATTTTATCACTATAAATGATTATATTTTTAAATAAAGGGTTTTGTTTCATACTGCGCAAAACAACCTTGCAAAAATGCTAATATTTGTTACAGTTTTTGCTCTCTTGATTATTATTAATTCTTTTGTTTTTTTTAGTGCTAATAGTTATTGATAAGTTGTTGTTTAGCATCTGTCGATTGAAACCACTAAGCCTTGATTTTTTATGGCCGTAGGGCTGTTTCAAACGCAGTCTACCGGTTTTCCTGTCCTTTCGCTGCTACTTCAGACTGGGGTTAAAATTTCAAATTGGCCCTGATACGCGTAACCATTGCAAAGCCTGCCCCAACACGAACTCCTTCTCGGTTTCCCGCCGTACCTGACGAACAAGATGCAACATCACGAGAAAGTTGCCATTTCAGGCGCATACGTGCAGATACAACGCATTCCGAACGGCGTTCGGTTGCAGCGCTTGTTCGGCCAGAGCTTCCTGCGATCGTGAAAAAAGCACTTGGTCAATGGGGAAAAGTTCCGCTGGCTGCCAGCCATCAAGTTATACCTGGACGATGAACAGGTGAATGTAACCGGGGAAGCAGATAGGTTTACTGAATTGCCAACCAGGAATCAGGATATCATAGCCACGCATTATTCGGACGGGCTCCCGACAATACTTGCACGCTAGCGTTCTCCGTCACGGCAGGGTATTCCCACAGTCTTGATACCAGTCAGGATACTCGGATCCCTCGGAACACCGGGCGCTGGAAGCGCAAAAGATTTTGTCAGACCTGACTAACTGCGATCGCTCTCCGCTGCACTTAAAATCCACGATCAATACGTTCTTCGCCACATCGATAACTTCCCCATAATGGAACAGACCGCTGTCCGTCAGCGCATCCACACAGTTCAACCCGTGCACGGGATGAGATGGGAAATCCCCTCCATATATGTGCATTTTTAGCTAACCATTGCGAAGTATAGAAAAACAAATACTGTACGGAATGCAAACGGAAATGGCCACCTAAAAGGGAAAGCTCAAAATTATTATCCAGGAAAAGTAAACTGATTGTGAAGTTGTGGACGCATTCAAAGAACACAAGCACACAGCCTGCTATTAATTCTCGAGCGTTGATCGGGGGGAATCTGCAGAAGGAAAAGACCAAGTTCCATCGTGAAGTGCGCATGTGGCTGCAGTGCTGTTATGAAAATGGCAAGTACCTTTTTCAGGATTCCTGACCAGAAACTACCGGGAAATGTAGTATGTTAGCGTAGTAATCGTTCTCCTTGTCAGTTCTTGAGATTTGCGTAGATGATTTTCGGTTAAATTATTTAAATATTTTGAAAATTCGGACGAATAATACGTTTTGATTTGCCCAGTTGATCTGTTTTTTTTCGTTTTCGTTTGGTACCCTGAACATGTTTTGGGTTTTTCTTTTCACTGCAATTTGAAGCCAGCAGAAAAAAAGTTGTGCACCATGTCCGTCATACTAGTAAAACTTTTATTTTTAATAATTTATTAGCAGTATGGATTTAGACATTTAGTAATCTTTTGGGTTTGAATAATTAGCTTCACTAATTAAGTGAGCGGTTGCTATGTTTGTTGATTTGGTGACTATTTTATTTTTTATTCTGTTTTAGTTTAAGTATTTGTTGTTTCATGTTGTTCGTTTGTTGTATGGCATAATGGATGGTTGTCGTCTGCGCACAGTAACTCCACAATGCGAGTCTAGAAAAGCGAGATGCTTAACGCGGACTGTGCAAATACCAGCTTTTCTGTTCAATTTCTGAGCTGGGGATTTATGCGAGCTGGAGTTTACTGCTGCACTCTAACTGCTGATTTGTTTAACAAAATTTCTGAAACGTGCACCACTTTCCGCGATTTCCGCTTTTTTGCTGTTCGCCAAAGTACCTAGCTGTAGTTGCAACTTGCGGTGTACCTACTGCTCAACTACATGTCATATGTTTAAAATATGTCATATATATACATTGTCATAGCTTTGATTTCTTATATTGAAGCATATAAGAGCAGTCTTTGAGCTAGACTAGACGGTGGTACAGTGGCAACTGCACTGCACGCTGTGGCCGTTCGGTACACAGAAAAGCTTATGCCGGCAACAATTCCAAACATCCGCAATCACCATCGGTAATGCTTAGTAGGGTTCTAACTGTATCACCAGTTCAGTTCATCGCTCAACCCTGAGGTTAGTCAGGTTACAACGGTCTGCAACAATTTAGATTCCGGATTGTAGCGCAGAACAGGTACAATTCCGTGTCAGCTGGAAATGCAAAGATTGTAAGCACGCTTCGGGGCAGCACGAACGTGTCCGTCTGCTAATTTGCCTGCGTAACGACGTCTTGCCATAACTGCCCATGTGAGCGCGGCTTCAAGAGAAAACTGGCTGAAAGCGGATGTGGCGGCACCAAGCACTAGCAAGCGGATGTACGTTTTCGCCGCATTATATTTTTCTCGATAGAATACGCACAGTGCTGATTGCACAACCTAAAATTTAACCGTATAGCAGTACGATTTAACAAACAAAATTTGGCAATTATTTGTCTGCTTTAAGAGAAATTTTGCCTGTTTGTTTACCTGCATCTCAGTTTAAGAAAAAAACGAAACCATGCATTTCTTGATAATCTTTGCCGAGTGCGTAACCCTTTTGGGATTCCTTCACCACACCTTCGGGAAAACCAAAAGTAAGTACAGATAAGTGCTTAAAGTAGATACAGATAAATACAGATTACTTGGTGCTCGTGTTTAACCAGTAGACGGCGGATTCCAAGGAAACAGCATCGGAATATTTTCACCGCTTCCGGAGTTCAACACGGAACTGATGACACGTGACCAGTGCGAGCTGCAGTTTACCGCCCACTGCGGAGTGCGCCTCAGCGTCGGCAACTCATTTGCGTGTGCTCAGAATCAAGGGTTGGCCATCAACTGCAGCAGGGAAGCCACAAACGAGGAAGTGCAGCAACTTGCGATAGCGCTATCCAGACCACCACTCAAGGCCATCTTCATCAGCCTGAATGACGGACCCCAAGTCGTCTTCGAGAACCTGGCGCCGGTGCGCGAACAGGCGGTTGTCTTCCAACTGCAAAACTGCCGTTCAACGCGCCTCACCAAAAAGCTGGCCCAACTGCGCCTGCCTCATCTGCTGGAATTCAGCGTCCACCACTGCCGCGCCTTGGACGTCCGACGAGCCGACTTTTGGCAGTCCGCCAAATTAAGACTCATCCAATTCGTAAATTCGACGATAGAATTTTTGGAAGAAGGCACCTTCGCCGATTTACCCGGATTGCGGCTCTTGTCTCTGGAGCGGGGGTTGACTGAAATTAATTTCTGGGAGGACGACGTTTCTGATTTCGTCATGAAACTGCACTGTGGCTGTGAATTCGATCACTTTCGACGCTGGTGGCGCACCAACGGACTGCTCAAGTATGCGACAGAAGGCCAAGTGTATCGTATCGAGTACGACGCGTGGCGGAACGAAGAGCTCATTAAAAGTGATATTTTCCTGCAAATCGATTGCGTCGCGATCTCCTCTAATAACGGCACATTTGTTATTGATGACCGGAACGACTTCTTTTCAACTAATGAGGAATTGTGTGAGTTGTTTTAAATTGTGATTTCGTTTCCATAGTAACAATTGCGAATGTATCTTCAAAACTTGGATAGATACCGAACAGCTTCCTGAGAACTGTGCTTCCAAGACCCACACCACCGACGAGTTCCCAACTTTTTCTAGTGAACCAATGACGGAGCGAGAGTGCCGCGTCCGGCAAATTGTTCAGTGCAGTTTTCTGCAGCGTGACTACGGCTGGTGCGAGCATCAGTGGCCAGGAGGACACGTATATTTAAATACAAACTGTAGTTATGCAGTAGAGGTGCGCGAGATACGCCAACTGGCCCAAGCCATGGCGCTGCAGCCACCACGGCCCACAGTGTGGACCATTATCGGAGCCCTTCCCGTCACGGCCGCCGACGTTGCACCCATTCGGCGAACCATCGTGTCGTTTGACTTCTTCAAATGCACCAGCAGCCGTTCGACTACAAAAGCCGGTGACCTTCAGTTGTCCAGTCTGCTGGACTACGGTATATGGGACTGTAGCGATTTGGAAGTGCAGCGAGCCGATTTTCAACGCCTCTCAAAACTGCGCCTGCTGATGTTTTCTAATACCACGATCCGCAGTCTGCAGTTCGACGCTTTCGGTTATCTGCCGGCGCTGCGCTTATTGAGTCTGGAACACGAGATCTACGATAACGCTTTGGAGCAGTCACGAGGTTTCGGTCAGCGGATTCGCGACTATTTGTGGCGGTTGCATTGTGGCTGCGATTTTGCTTGGTTCCGACAATGGTGGACGAACAACACACTGCTCGTTCACGCGTACGACAACGATGCGGGTGAAGTTTACGCTTTTCGGGACTATGCTAGAAGCTATCCGCTATTTCGGCAGAACATTTTTCTACCCGTCGACTGTGCGAAACCAATTCCGCGTGGTGCTCATGGCATTAATCACAACGAGACTGCGTTCTCACGTCACGTTAGTGAGTGTTAGGAGAAGTACGTCGCACCGCTCGACATGGGCAGGGATTTCCGTTAGTAGCTGATAATGTAATATACTGTAACAATGTAACTTTGCGGTTATAGTATGCCTTGCGGTTATTACAGTCGGCAAGAATTCTCACATTTTCACACTGGGAGCATAATTGACGGGCGAAAATGCACGGATGAAATCATGCCTGTCGTACGTTAATTTTCTCTGCATCATGGCTGAAATTGAATATTCCTATATTCTTCGTACGTAAAGTATGCTTCAAATTGGTTGGGAAACAAGCAGAAATGCTCACGTTAGCCACTGTGCTTTAATCAGATACCCCTGCTGTCAGCCGCATTTTAAGCAGATCAGATGCACTGTCACTTTGCGTGGCTGTGTGCAGCCAGTCTGCTTTATGCTCGCGATTCAAGAAAGGGTTCCGGACAGGGATGCTCACGTTTTGTGAATATGTTCGCGTTTGAGAGTATATGTAAATGCTTACAAGAAGCAGATGTTCACGTTTGTGAGCATATGTTCATGCTGTGCGATATTTTATTCGGGAATCGCCACACATGGAATAAAATACCAGCGCTGGTATACGCTAATTAAAATGATAGAAATTTAAATGTTGAAAAAACAACCGTGATCTTGGCTGTACGAAAATTTGCCCGCGCATTCAGTGTTTCAAAAACTTCTGCTGCATTTCCTCTAACAACTTCCAGACTTAAGCGCTGTCTCAAAAGGGAAAGAGGCTGTAGAATGTGGCTCGCCGGGAGCGTCGCAGAATTTCTTCCAACAAATCGAGTCCCCTGAGCGAAGGCCGTTTCGCTACTTCCAAATGTCTTGACTGCAAGTGGTGGACAAGGCAATCATAAGCAAGCCTTCGGAAAAGGTCACCATTGCCGGGCCTGTGTGTATGGATCCCCTTTTCATTTTCCATCCTAAATACGGTCGGATGATCCGCTTTTCGCAACCCGGTCGCTCTCTACAGATTCCATACCGAGGATTTTCGGATGTAGCTCGCATTGTGCAAGACAGCTTCTGGGGTCCTGAGGGAGTGTCCATGGATGGTTAGGCTAACAACATTTGATTTATGTGGCATCTTGCTTTACTTCCATTTGCAATATTTTTCGTTTTTCGGCTAATTATGGCTTTATTTGGGGATTTATAGGTAGCTATACAGTAAACAGCAAAAAAAAGGCTGATGCCACTATTTGCGACAGACTAAGCAAGAAATCTATATTAAGAGTTCGTCTCATTCTGTCGCAGTTAGTGTGCTTAGCCAGGGTGATACACGACGTTATTAATTCTGTCCGTCAGGTTTGTCAGAACGATAAACTTAGACGCAATAACCGGTGTTTATGGTAACGATGTCAAGAAGATGAAAAATTTAACGCAATTAACCTTCGCTTTAATGGCAACATATTTTGAAAACTGTTTGCGAACGGCAAGGCTACCATAAACGGCGGTAAGTCATTTGAAAAAGCTGTGCAACTGCTGTTCTTATAAACTGATGTTGTTTCTACACGATTTCAGTTTGAAGATTAAGGCATGTAGTACAACAAATATCGTAAGCAGTTACCGTCATATTACAAAAGTCAATCTTGTTAATTTGTACAATTAAACGGAGAACCTTACCGGAAGTAAATAAGGTCTTTTACGAACAGGAATTTTTTCCTGCCGCTCAATTAAAGCTAACACGTTTGCGATCCACAGTTAACGTGTTTCTTACAGGCACTTGTGTTGTAATGGGTTGTACATCCACTGCGCAAGTGCGGATTTCCCGTACGCAGACTCTGTGGTGCCACTTGATCGAGCCGCTACAGTACAGAAAAGTATCTGGTTGCGCGTTTTATATGATTGTGTAAACTGTAGCATAATATTACTAAACCTTAAGGTATTCCATCGAGCTTGCGCTTTGTACGATAACGTCACGGTAGATGGCATGCACTGTGCGCCGAGTAGGCAACCGCTGCAGGTTTTGTGTTAACCAAAAGTTTCAAGTTCGCCCAGTTCGTTCGTTCTATGGCTCAAAAAATGCGGAAAAAAATTGAAGTTTGTAAAGTGAAGATTGGTAAAAAAACGGGCTCAGAAAACCGAAACTCTTACGATTAACGTACTTCTTGTTTACCATGAAGGTCTATGAGACAGTTTACCACAGACCTCTACGCTGACAAAAAGTTAAATGTTTTGATAAAAATCAGATTGTTTAATGTTAATGATTGACTGATCGAATTTTAATTGTTTTGCTTAGATTGTCAAATCAAGTTTTATTCGTTTGGTTTGACAAATCAGAAATTAGAAGATTGTCATTTCGCAGGGAGGTCCGTGGCGAACCGCCTCGTACACCTCTATGCTAACGAGAATAACGTAAATCACAAAATTTTCGTTTCCCTGACAACGTTTCACTTACCAATTTCCATTTTCCAAACTTAGAATTTTTTTCTGCATTTTTTGAGCCATACTACGAACGAACTGCATGAATCTGAAAGTTTCATTCAACACCGAACCCGCAGGGGTTACCCACCAGTGCGTCTTGCATAGCGTGACGTCACGCCAGTCGATGGAATACCCTAAGGTTTAGTAATATTATGATTGTAGTTGTAACGCATCTATGGAATCCACTATATGCTAGCTTAGCGGAATTGGCGTTCCTGATCTTATCTCGTTACTTGGCTTGGTATATTGTCACAAACAATCCTTCTTCCATAGTTTATAATCGAATGCAACTTAACTTTATTCAGTATTTTTACAGTTGGTTACGGCTGCACTGACATCTAAATCAACCGATTCGTGATTGCGTATTTATAACGCCCAGTGTACCTCTATAGGCAAAACAATTTCTCTTACATGTAGTCGGTGCAGTTGCGGCTGGCGTCTTGTCCGGACATGGCTCCGGAATTTCACAGGCATAAGATTTGTCCGAATCACTATACTGCCAATATTTTACATGATATTAAACGTGCATTATAAAATCCTTACTAGATGCGGTTTCAGATGATCCAATGCAACAAGTAACAAATAAAACGGCAGCTGATACGAAGGGATTATGCCCTGTAAAGTACAGGCTGGAACATTATCAGCCGCTGTCGAGCATGCGGCAGATGTGCAATCTGTTTGTGATCTTTTGGTCTTTTCCGCAGTTTCATCGACTACTCGCAACCGGCTGTTAATTTATTCCCATCCCTATTTTGAATGCACACGTTTTGCGTCAGTTTAAAGAAGCCGGCACTAATTATACAGTAGTTGCAATTGTTCGAAAACAAAAGGTGTTTTCGCTTTTGGGGAATAAGCGGTAGGGAGTGAATCGGCAAGTCTTATATGTATCAGACGGCATAGGGAAAGAGAGAGAACTGGTAAGATTGCGGAGCGAGAGCAAGGTTCAGCAGCGGTAAGCGAGGCCTTGCGGTGGATGCATTATTGTACTGGGTACAGGTGCATCAGCATCAGAGACAGGAGCATAAAACCAGTGGCACTTTAATTTGATGTTTTAACCAATATGCCATCACATTATTTTTTCACACTCCGTATTTATTACATTCCGCATTCCCGTTCTTGTCGCGCGATGCCCGGGCGAATGGCCATTTGGCTTCGCACCCCGATGTCCGGGCGAATAGCTACTTTATTAAATAATGGGGAAACTGCCCAGAGCCTCGATCCCGAGCTTAAAGATTATTTATCCATCCCAAGATGCCTGTATGCTTCCAATTTCTACACCGACAACATGCACACACTTTTGATCATCTGGTATACTCGGAACATGAGCAGCCGGGAAACAGTAAACTCCTAATTCAGGCTGTGTACAGTAAATATAAAGTCAATTTTAAGAGTGCTTTTGAACGGAAGCAACACAGCGTAAGCAGCAATGCTGCGGCAAACTTTGCTGACTGCAGCGCACGAACATTCGCCCAGTATATAAAGCAAGTTACCAAATGCCAGATAACAGTTCACTGCGGATTATTTGCTAGCGCTGTTCTTCTTATCACACGCGCTCATAGAGAAAGTGCGGAAAGTTTTGTTTTATTTTGAAACGTGCATCTGGTGTTTTCGGACAGTATTCCCGTCTGTTTTGAGTGATGTTACCCACACGCCTTTCGAAAAATGTTTCTTGTATTTCAGTTTTTTTTCTTGACCAGTGGTCGTCTCGATGACCCCCTTGATTCCCTGGTTTTAAAGTGCTCGCCAAAATTTGAGTCTGTTCATTCTGCGCGATGTTTTAGTCAGTTGTTATAAAAGGCATCCCATAATCTGTCCTTGCGACTTTGTTCCCCTGTAATACGCACTTTGAGCCTCAGTTTGAGGTGATCCTGCCCTGCTTGACCTATGGACTATGACCACTAAAATTTTGTTTACTATGTTTTTTTCTTAGTTAAATTATTTCAGCTGGAACTACCTATTTTCAAATTTAAATTTGCATTTCTTCTTCTACGCGGCATTTCTGGGTCAAAAGTCCTGTTGTCACTATAAAAATACGAATATTTCGTAGGAATTTTATGGGAATCTGTGGGGAATATTTTCTCGAATTCCCTGGTAATTAAACATTCAGCAGATGATGAGCGGTTTGTTTTAGGCTGAATATAAAATGGCGAATACAGCGTGCACAGGTAAGTCGCATTATCAATTATTCACCTAATTGTTCAAGAAAAGCGAAAGCAAAGCGACAGGAAATTTTCCGCACCAATAGGTCAGCTATCCTTTGGCAGGCTTCGATATAGCTGGCACGATAGTGCGAAGGTGCTGGTCGTGCGGGCCGTGGGTGCGTCCGTTGGACGTCTCTGGGTTTGCGACGGGTGCTGGGGCGGGGGCGGGGGCGGGCGCAGGAGCAAAGGATGGGAACCGGGCAGGGGCACGAGCAGGAGCGGCAGGCTTGGGCTGGTTGTGGTTTGTTGAGGGGGGCACGTACATTTGGTGGGCAGGTCTGCCGTTTCCTGGGGCTGTGCTATCTGGTACCCGTTCGCACTTTTTCTTTGCTTCTAGGTTTTTCTCGTCTTTGCGTAGGCACTTGCATCGGTCGTCCAGACAACCCAACCCGCAGTCGCGTTTGCATTCTTCATCCTTCGCACACTCTTTGCGACCCGCGCACTGCTCGAGCGAAGATGCTGTACAATACCAAAAACGGATAAGTATCTGTTATGACAGCAGTACAAATTCTCTAGATCCACTTACTGTCTTCGGCCTGGACGGAAGCAATGGCAGCCAAAACACCAGCAACTAAACAAAAAGCACCGATAGAAGATTTCATGTTAGCAAACAATCTTTAAGACAATCGTACAATGGACAACTGGACTTTGGGAACTTGTCTTATATACCGATTACAATTTCCCCTTTCACCCACCGTCAGCACAATTAGCTCTCATATTTTATGGAAATCTGGAGTCTGGCGAAAAACAGGGCCAGAATGAAGAGGCCTCCAGGAATTATGTTGATCAAAGCGCATTTCAGCAGAAATTATACGAATATTGAGTGGATGCGCGACACGACTTTAACGAAAGTTCGCATTATTCTTGAAAAGTATTTAGACCCATTATACTTTGTCAACTTTGCACCTTTCAAAAGCTTGCCAGATCAGGTGAATTCAAAGCGGATGCATGCATCGCATTGCTAAGGACGATGTAGCTTCCATATACCGATCATGATGCACATATCTGTACACTCGACTTGAACACTTATGCACTTATGCAGATTTTTGAACGGCATTTTTTTTTGAACGGCTGTACACTTATGCAGATTTTTGAACGGCATTTTTCCAGGAAGTGCGCTTCACCGGCTTAATTCCAGGAGCACGGTCTTCTTTGGCCGAGCTTTGACGTTCGCTAGGCTTCCGTGAACATGCGTTGCGGTAACGGCAGCCGTTACCAAACGATATCGGCTGCCTGATCCAGTGATTACAGTACAGCAGCCCAGTTAAAATGCACCCGTTCAATTTATTATCTTTAATCACAATGCGGACAGTACTGATATTGTACGTGCCGTATAATTATATGAACATGTAATTGTGTACTCTGTAAATACTTTGTTACCTCCTCATCGAGACCATGCGGTATCACTAAATTTCGTACAAGTTTTTGTGCAAGGCCTTAAAATTAGCGTGCTAAATAAGTGTGGCATAAGTAATAATTACGAAAAAAACTGATAAGTATGTAACCCTGAATGTGCACTCAAAATTTTTATGTGTTTAGTGCAGCTATGCCAGTGCCAGTGCAGTCATGCCGTGGGCGGCATAACACATAACGCAGATTGACATTAGATGTGTAGGAGCCGCGCATATATGTACATGGATCGTGGGCCGTGGCACCGTTAATTGTGGATCAGATATGCTGAAATTAATTAAATAATGTCAGCCAATGCTGTCCGAACGACCGAAAACTATACTTTGATTGAATCCGCTATTTGATCACTGTGATTATACCGTTCAGCTAGCTACTGGATCACACAACAAATGATGCTAAATTTGCAGGTATGTAACCCGCCACATTCGGCGGTTGGTAATCATTTACCTGACGTAGCTCTTCAGTTGTTATCGTCAGTCAAGTTTTTAATTCTCCTTGTAAGGTAAAAGTCACAGCAAAGCCGCCAAAGAAAACAGCATCGGACACTAATCATTCGGCCCATCTAAAAGATGAAAAAACTCCTCGTTGTTTCTTGGTCAAGTGATGCAATACCTGAACCGCAAGTACTTTTATAATCCAAGGAAGCCAATGACGGATTCAGTCGAACTGTAGCGAAATTACTTTGCGAAACGGAAAATCTTCCATAAGTCATCGAAAGCTACGTTACACAAGACAAACCAGCTCAAAGGTCCATCACGGCAGAAAACGTTTAATTGTCCGTTGTACTGATTTGGTAAACAAGTGAAACGATTCGCTTTTATTAGCTACGGTTAAAACAAAAAAAAACTTATTTTGGCAGTTAGTCGGTAACGTGTATCTGTATATACATAGATAAGTTTGTCATCCCACCCTGTTTTTCGAAGTGGGATGGGAATGTGAACGTGAAGTGATGGGAGTGGTGGGATCGGTGGGACGATAATAAATTGAATTTTATTGAATTTTTTTATGAATTATATGTTGCATAAAATATAAATGTTATAAAAACAGTTACCATAGGTAAAAAATGCATTATCAACCTAATAAAATATACTATGGTGGACGCGGCATAGAGTACCGTAAAGGCCAGAATGCTCAAGACCTTGCTTATAAATTTCCCGTTATAAATTTCCCGTTATCACGGCCAAAATTTTTCGGCATGATGGGATTGTGAACAGGAAATGGGCGTGATTGTGACAGCGTGTGATGACGTGATGACAACCCTATATAGGGGTAAAAATGAGTCTAGCCGAACCAGTCCCTTGTACTTCTGATGTCAGCCGGCTGGTGTTTTACGTTGTAGCTATACATGGCGCTTATGTACCGCGCCTGGTTTAACCGTATGTATTGCCGTAAGGTCACACTCCAGGCGGCTGACGGCAGCAGTAAAGGGAAACGGGCCGAGTAGACTTGTTTGTCCCCCTATATATACAACATGTATATACGCGCAACATCACGTCCTAAAAAAACATCTTGACGTGCTTATGTGTTTGTGTTTTTATGCTGCACGATGAGAACTGCTAAGAAACTGCTAATTTTCGTTTATACACGTGTCGTCGGTATAATGCCGCTAAGCGACATTTTTTTGTCAAAGTACAGAAGTCTGTTGCCTTGTCTGATTCTGTTGCAGGCAACACACATGGTCTCCGCCGTCTTGAGATCCATTTCCTCCCTCTTTTTCCATCGCCATCGACTGCTTGCGGCACCACTGCCGTTTCGATTTCCGGCCCCTTCGCCGACTAGCTCACGCCACTATGGAATGCAGTGATTTTTCCATCTAAGTCCCTACAAAATCCTTCCAAACCGTTCGCTCCTCTCAGAAGTATGTACAGTAAAACGGGACAAGTTAAATTGGTATAAACAATATTTACAACATCTGAACTTTGATTTTGCCATTCATTTCGATCCTCGTTTAACTACTCGTACTTCCGGTTGCTGTTTTCTCATTCATGCGTCCGTGTTGCCTTTGTTTTTGTTATTCTTCCTGCTACTAGTAACCAACTACGACTTGTTTTTCGTGTGTTTTCCATCCGGCTTCTCACGGTGTAATGTTGATCATTGCCCACTGCCGTAAAACGCGCACTTCTCCGGTGCACGAAAAAAACGGGCACTGTTACATCGATTGGTACTTTTTTTATTATTTTTTTTAAATAGAAAAATTTTGATTTTTGTTTGAAGACAGAGTAGGTACTGGGAATACTTAAAAAAGCATTTTGATTGGCAGTGGTGCAGTGGGCGCGGTTAAAACCAAATTTATGTGCGGTATGCATTGTTAATGGAAGTATTGGACGACTTCCACCGGAAAGAACGTTTGGATGTACCTGCGGCAAAGGTACGAATAGGAAAGACAACCCGGGCGATCGGGCTGAAAGATTTTTTAGCAGTGGGAAACGGAAGCGCATTGTTGGTTGTGGTTCTCTCAAGACTCCCCTGTCCTTGTTGAAATCTAAAAATTTCTTGTAGTTTTTATTTTCTGTTTTTGTTCAGGCAGTGTACTGACCAGATGTGAAAATGCCTTAAAGGTTTGTCTGCTCAATGAAAAAACTAAACTAAAAAACCGATGCGTGTAAGCGACGCAGTAATTACAACTCGGCGAGTAACGCAGAGTATCATCGTATTGCAGTGGTTCAGGCATTTAGTAAAGTGGGCATAGTTAAAGATTGCACAGACACAAACACTGGCAGATAAAATGATTATGGTTAACATTCTTCCTTGGCGGCGGAAATTTCCAGTCTGCTTACAAAGTGCTAATATTACTCCAGCAACCGCATTAAGCACAGCACAATCAGTATCCGGTGCTGAAATTTTAGTTCACCACAAAATTTCATGAAAATATGTTTGCCATTCTAAAAACCTTTTGACGGACATCTGGCGTTGGCTACATTCAGCCTTGATTGGGGCGTGCAAGGCAGTTGTTAATCAGGGGTCCATTAGGCGGTGCGCATATTGGCGATGCAATAAACGTACGATATAGTCCGGGTTTGCAGATGCAGGTGCTGTCGCAAAGATAACTGCACGACGCCGGCGGATTGCGGTTTGCACAAGACGTCTCACATTTGCGGCAGCCATAAGTCATTAATGGATCGGGACATTTCCAAAATGTTTGTAGGATGTCGAATGCGCTGGAACTGCAAAAATGCCAAGGCATTCGGTATGAGCTCGCCAGCAAGCCCATTGTTGAAAACACTTGATCTTCCCTATTGCGTGCGACTGCAGGAGTTAAAACATACCGCGGACTCATCCGGTGTACTCGCAATGATCCGTTACTGAGACCGCGATCGATGTGGTAAACTGGTAATACTGTTTGTTAAAGGAAGATTTCGAAGTAATCATTGTCCTGATTTTCCACTTACGTATACGATATAACAAGTTATTCCGTCTGCACCCAGAAAACCCATTCATGCGTCACGTTAATTGAAGTCAAAATAATTTCCAGTCTTATTAATTACTGTAGATTCAGCATGGAATGCTGAGTCTCAAAACCTGAGACACAAAATCCATGTTAAATTCCATTATTAAGCCATTTTTGGGTTGGCTGGTAGCGTACGTACACAAATTGAACCAGTTAGCAGAACAGATAATTACTCGACAATAATTCAAGCAACTATATAATCAAAGGAGAACAGTAGATAGATCATGATGTTCCACATTGTGCTTACAGGACTTGCACGCCGTTGATGGCGTAATAAAAAGGCTCTTGCATTAGCAGGTTAACTGACTAATTTCTTAAGAGACATTTGACTAAAACCTCCTTCACCGTCAGAAAGTAAGCCGCATAAATTATAAACATTCCTTACCGTCGGCTTCTCGCTGGGTTCTTGTCGCTGTCCCTCCCCAACTGCGCCGTTTCCAGCGTTGACTGTGCCCTGCCCGGATTCGACGGTGCGTTCTCAGACTGCGCCGCGCTGTAATGCAGTAGCAGCGTGACGGTGGCCCACAGCGTGAGGATGGCTGCGGTTGACTTCATCGTATACAACGGAACTTGACTTAGGCAAAGGTCGGAAGCGCCAAATTTAAGCACTCATTTAGCGTTAACTTAACAAGTCGAACTGGCAGACAGTGTTTTATAATATCAGCTGTGCGATGCCAACGCATATAGCCGCTTTAAATTCAGCTGACTTGGTGAGTTCTGGAGAGATGCTAAGTTGGCAAGTTTAATTCGTCGTATTGGAGCAGTTTTCATGAATAATAATACAAACCTTCATTAGTTCCATGTCGCGCATCCACTCGAAGTTTTAGAAGCAGTTCGCATAAAGGAAGCTGAAATGCGCTTTGATCAACATAATTCCTGAAAATCACTTCATACGGGCCCGGCTTTTCACCAGACTCCAGATTTCCACGGACAGTAAAGCTTTGGCGGACGGCAAGCAGCAAAGTGCACTTCCCGCTAGTACATAGTGGTTTAACGCCAACAATCTCGTAAACAACGAAAAAAATCGAAATTAATGTTTGTTCATTCTTCTCGCAGCCGAAAAATTGACCTATCAACAATCGCTTTGAACGGTCATCACCTGGAAGCGCAAACAGCTGTTTCGCACCTGAGTGTACATGATAACTAATCAACACCTAAAATGGACCGGCCACTGTAAAGAGATCCATAAAAGCGTTAGTCACGAAATGGTTCTCATAAATCGCGCAAAAGGCGGTATGTGCGATTCTCAACTACATTGGACTTTTTTCGTGCCTGCTATTTTTATGCAGAAGAGTTGCCGTTAGAAGATTTTGTTCAGCAAATCCATTCATTTAAATGCAGTGAATCCGAAAAAAATGTGCCATTACTACATTTCGCGGCTGATTCACTGTAAAACAAATATCCCAACATGAGGCGACGACAGTGCGGCAACATTAAGAGACTATCTACGTCAGCAGAAACAGGAAGTCCAGAGAAAGCCGGTACGGAAAAATCTTTGCTTGTTCCCACGTTAAGAAATAAGATGCGCACGTCTGCTTTTCCTAGCTTGTTAAGGCATTATGCCACGTTATTATATAAGCCATAAAACTACGGATTAATATGATTAGCCGTGCGTCTGCCCAAAAGTACAGTTATTTTACACGCCAACGCCTCGTTAGCATGAGCAACATTGATTTAGGTGGGTGTACGGAATTTTCCGCCTAAAATTGAAACGTACTGATCGAAATCTATGAAAGTTTCGTTTCAACCAATTTCGATGTGCACGTGCCCTATCGCTGAATCGTTTGACGTTGTACACACATAAAAACTGGAGCCGTGTATCGCAACTACAAACTCTACTGCGACCACCGCGGTCGCCAACACAACCCAAAACACAGTTGGCCTCGCAGAACTGTCTCACCAATCAAAACGTAGACGCTTAATGTTTGGAACGTTCTTCTCTCACAGGAATTATTATAATATGATTGCTGCATGCCTGTTATCGACGTCGACGGCGCAACATCGGCAATCTACCCAAATTTGGGTTTACTTTAGGCTATTGGCGGGCACTGCGACATTTCGCCGCGGACAACTAGTCGCAGGACTTTTTGTTGGTCGCAGACATTTCACCGCAAGGCCATCTCGCTGCGCGACGTTTCGTCGCAGGAAATTTCGTCGACAGGACTTTACGCCGCGAGACTTTCCGTCGCATAGCCGTTTCGACGCAAGGAAATTTAGTCGCAAGGAAATCTCGACGAAGCGACATTTCGCCTATCAGATAAACGATTTACTAAGTTAACTAAAACAGCCAGAAAAGGGAAAACAGGAAAACAAAACCAAACGAACAACAAAATAAACCTACGAAACGCAAAAAAAAACAAGAAACCTAAGAAACCTAAGAAATATAAGATGCATTGTCGTGTGTTTTTGCGGTAAGTCCCAATTTCCCACCCAGACGTATCTGGCCAGGGAAATAAAAAAAACATTCCAGGAACACGTTTTCCCAAGTCTACTTGTGTGATTTGAAACAGTATGGAAATCATATTATTTCAGGCACACAGCTTTGTGTTGGCTTGATATTTTAGTGTGTCGTTGCGATGATATTTTAGTGATGCCGAAACGCTTTTGTCAGAAATTACCGGGCAAGCTTGTACACATTACTACACACAACTGTGACCATATTGTATAAACCTGTTTCGTTCTGAACAGAAAATTCATCGGTCGTTGCAGGTTTTTGTTGCGCTTTGCAACAATTTTAACGCTAAATTAACCTTGTTTAATAAATTCACTCTAAGTAAGTAAATAGATCTGCTTGGAAAAATAGAAATTAGTAAGTAAAGGTAACGCCCCAGAAAAATTTCAAAAGTAGGTAAGTTAATAGACAATTTGAGCAAAAGCTGCGACCGTAGCAGTACCAGTGACAGTAGCGCTATTTTGCTGTAGTGCGTCTATGGCAAAATCGCCGCTACTCTGTCATTGGTACTGCTACGGCCGCTACGTGACTAAACTCTCTATTAATGTCTAAAAGCGGACGGTAAAATAAGCACACTGGCAAGGACGTTCTTTTTGTGTTACAAAAGGCAAGTTTAACCCAGTTCTTGACGCGACGGCAGCGTCAGTATGTAAAGAAGTGCAGCTAGGCGCGAGTGCCGTGAACTGGTATCACACTCATTTGACAGAACCTGTTGCTGATGCGGGCTTGTATAAGTACTTGAATGTTCGGTGGACATGATTATTTACATCAGTACTGTTAATTAAAAAGGAAAACATTTGAAAACCAGGCAGATTCAGAGAATTTAACTGAAACATGTGGCTTGTAAAACATGGGGTAAAAATCATCTTACTAGCAGCGTCAATTGTATTATAAATTTAATACTGTCATCACGAAAAATAATTAATTTTATGACAACAAGCATAATTAATTATTGACACCAAGCATAATGTATTACTGCATCCGCAATGGATCTGTTAGTTAAATGGATGCACAACGTTCTAAATACGTGTACCGTTCCGGCAATCACATTGTAAACAGTCACGGTAGCCACGCTTCATTTTCAGGTTCATCGGCGTCTCGTTTTTATTTAAGTGGCAACGTTTGCCTAATTAGCTTGCGTTTTTCACTCATTTGTTATGCAGAAGTTGTTTTTCCTTGAGGCATTCATGTTTTGCTGTATCCATTTTTCCGAAAAACAGAAAAACTGGCAATCATGCGAACTGAATTGTGGACACGCATTATGAGCGTGGTGCCTGGTGGCGTCCAGGGCATGTTTTATTAAATGCTAATTGGTGCCACCGACCGGCTAATTGGCAGCAGCAGGGACGTTGCATTCTCCGGCAAAATTACCGCGAGAAGCGGCAGTACATAAAGAGATGCAGAGTGTCGGTGATGTTAACTAATATCCCAGTTACCTGGCACAGCACTCAGCTGTCCACTCTTTCCCATCTTCACCTACTTGACTTGTCTGCGATGAAGTCAACCGCTGCTATCCTCTCGGTGTGTACCACCGTCACGCTGCTAACGCATTACTCTGCAGCGGAGTCTGGTGACCCCACCGTCGAATCTCGCCTCAACACACGCCACGCTGGAATTGGGACAATAAAACCTGAAAGTGCCTCAGCCGAAAAAGCAACGGATATACGGTAAGGCCCGTTTACGACAGCAGAGGTTTAAATTCCCCGGTAAAACACGCTTTACTGGAACAACTTCTAAATTAGTGGGTGCTACGCTGATAATATTGCATTTGCGTTTGTTAGTTGTATATGTACAAATCACGCACACATCTTTACAATTAAGGCACTTTCGCAGTTGCCATTGGCTGGCCAGCGCTACTTGTTTAGATGTATGCGTGATTTGTACACCTACAAGTAACCATCGCACATGCACTAATATCAAGCACATTGCTTTCACGCAGTTAGCGCCGTTTATGTCGTGTAAGCAAAAATTTAGAGCAGCATGCTTTGTCGGCTATGGTTAATTCGTCGCTTAAATCATAATTACCGGCATAACGAGTACTTAAAAAATTAAATCATAAATCATAATCGACTGTGAAGAATGTGGTCATCTGTTCATATAACTATACATATGCGGAAGTTAGAGCGACAAACAACGTGTGACTTTTGAGGAAGAAAAGGCGCAATGGATTTTCGGTACGCGCTTAACGAAGACGGCAGAAACTGGTTTAAAAAGGTGTAAGCGGTAGTAGTACTGTAGGCGTGTGTTTGTTTGACATTAATTTACAAGTAAGCGCAGATATAATCAAACGTTGAGTATAACCAAATCGACTAGCGGTCGACTTAACCGATGGTTGCCCAAACCAGCATTCGTAACCGTCAGCCGTGGATGGTCGAAGAGTGGCAATCCTTGGTTGTTTCACTTGCAGCCATCCACGGTGATCGGTTAAGCCGCCCTCCAGTCGACTTCCTGCTGATGGCACATGTATCTGTCCAACAGACTCTGTAGGACAGATACATGTGCCAGTACAGACTGAATCTTAAACTTCCCCCAACGGATGCAACCCAACATAGGGATCGCACTCGTACGCTAACGCACTTGCACACAAAGCCGACAGAATTCAAGAACATTACAGTAGTTTTAGCATGGAATGTTGTCTCCTAAAACTAATTCGGTCTCATTACATGCGGAAGGCCAGCGGGTTTTCTGCGTCAGGGTGCAGGTGGCAGAACCTGTTCTATGGTGCACTTAAAAGAAGAAAAACCGAAAAAAAACTTTTTACTTCGATAATTTCTTATACAGGTACAACTTTACTACCGTATATCGCTTCTACAAAAACGACAGCAAACAAAATTTACTGTTAAGGTGAGTGTGCTGCTGTTCAAGCGGATTAAGAACAACTAAATCAAGGATCTGCTGGCCGCAAAAATTATAACCCCCTAGTCGCACGCGAGGGGCGTGGCAGTTAATGCAACCAAGTGCTTCTTCTAGGATAATCAATTAGCTTAACTGCATCCGCTAATAAAATTTTTCACACCAACGCAGCATATAACAATACTGTAGGACTATTAGCGAGCTCATACCCAATTCCTTGGCGTTTTTTGCAGTTCCCTTACCACCGACATCCTACAAACAATTTTGCAATGTTCCGACCCATTAACGACTTATGGCTGTCGCGAGTGTGAGAAGTCATGCGCCAACCCCAACCCGACGCCGTTATGCGTTTATCGTTGCGACAGCACCTGTATCTGCAAACCGGGTCTGTACCGTACTTTCATTCCCTCGCCGACATGCGCGCCGCTCAATGGACCGCTGCTCAACAACTGTAAAGTAGGAATAAGTAAAGTCAAAGGTTAAATCCCAGATGGCCGCGGCTACGCTACGCGTTGCGATTATTTGATGTGCACTGATTATGTCTGATTATTTTTGTTGCCTTTGAACCGAAATGGAAATTTTGCTGATGACATCGATTGCTCTCGTATACCTGTGCATGCTGGGCGGTTAGATCAAATGTCTCAAGTGACTTCTAAAAATGACAGCGGCATTTCTGTTAAGTTTTGTGGCGAATAAGATCACGTCACCGGTCAAGAGATGCTGGTTTCTATTAAGTATTAAGTGTGTCGCATAAAAGGAAAAATAAGTACGCGTACGGTATTTCATTCGGCGATGTGTGTGCACACTTTAACTGCAAGGGCGATAAAATAATTCAACTTCTTTAATCCGGATGACCTGATTAGCTTGACAACTGTGCACTTGTACGAATCGGATATTAATTTTTGACTTACCAGTTAGTCGTACAGTGCACTTAGTCTAAAATTGCATTTGCAGTTTCGCAGCCGTTTTAACGAGCAGGGAGCCCAGATATGTGACTGTAATGTGCTTTGAGCCAATGTATAAGATTTTTCGAAGTATAAGAACAAACGTGATTGGAAGTGATACAAAACTGCAAACAACAGTGCACAACAAAAAGTGACAAAAACGTTGGTGCAGGATTGACTGAAATGATGTGAATGCAGTGAGTGAGGTGGTTTGGATTGCTAGTGGGAACAAAGGGAGAGAGACCATTCAGCAGAGATTAAAATAGTAGAAATTTAATAATACACACTCCCCCCACACCCTCAGGGGGGCTGCCCCTGGGAACTCGGGGGCGCTGGGTGGGGTAAGCTGAATTCTTATTAAGCAGCTATGGATAAATACTATTTTCGCGCGAAGCGCGAAGTCGAGTCCCGACGAGCTATTTTCATGAAAGACGCATGAAATACTATTTTGCTGGAGTTTTAATTTGTGCCTAGTTTCACTTTACTAACGGCAATAAAACAATGAGTATGTACGTATCTCTGAACAACGTGTAATACACGTACATAAATTTTGCAGGTCAATTCCGATTCTCGTAAAATTAACCGGATATTGCTGTTAATGAAGGCTGCTTTAAATTGGATTTATGCCGAAGGTACAGAAAACCTGACCCATGTTAAAAATTTCAAGTAGGACGGTGGCGATTTATTACTGGTGAGAGGGATTTTTTGGGATTATTTAGTGCGCGATTACCACTGTATCCAAGTGTGACGTTTTATAATACCAATTTCGCGCGAAGCGCGAAGCCGACGGCAGAGTTTGCCCTAAAAAATTAAGAAATTCCATTAAAAATACAAATTTTAATTCGAATTTTATATTCGACAGACCCCTCTAACGTTTTCTCAACGGATTTCAACTTTTTTAATCTTGCACATTCGAGAAGTTAATAATACACAGAACACATTTAATAATACACAAACTGTGTAAAAACACACACTATTTTAACCTATGGACCATTGTACTGTGGTCCATGCATAAAACCAAAAATCCGCTCAAAAAAATTGTCGTGTAAAAGACCTGTGACGTATTAATGAACGAGGTTAACCACTTCCCAGCCGCGACTCAATCGGTAGAGCAAACTCTTAAGGGATTTGACCCGGTACCTAGCACCAATGTCATGTACATCCACAGGAACTTTCACTCCGAAACGCTTTTTTGCAATGCTTTATTGTATTTTGTAGCCAAAAGAAAAGGTGTGAAATACGTTTGCGCGCCCAACATCCGGTTGCGGAATTATGAGGGTAACAAAGTTACGAAAAGTTAAAATGCATTCAGGTGTACCAAAAGTCTCATTATGGACCGATCACATTCAAATTTTGCATGTAAATGCGTATAATCAATTAACCGTGAAGATCGTTCTTAAAGCGATCCACTGTTCCAGCATTGTTTTTCATTTTTTAAAATGAATTTCAAAAATTTTAAAATTCATTTTAAAATTCGGAAAAATCGTGGAAGTCGGGTTCAGTGTAAGAACGATCTTCATGGTTATGTGCATCTGCATGCAAAATTTAAAAGGGATCGGTCCATAATGAGACTTTTGCTACATCTTAATGCATTTAAACTTTTTGCAGTTTTGTTACCCTCATAACTTAGCAGTCGGATGTTGCGCGCGAAAACGGATTCACGCCTAGGTATATAAATCATTTTGCTACACAATGTTAAAAAGCAATAAAATAAAAGTGTCTAAAAGTGCGCGAAAGCGGATATTCCCGTCAATGTGCACGAATTTAGTGCTATGTGCCGGGCCAAATCCCTTAACTTAACTGTTACAGTAAATATAGAATAGAATTAGTCAGCAACACGAATCAGGAATCCCTAAGGAATTGTGCTGAATACTCCTAACTTCCGGTCGTAGATAACGCAGATTAAATAAGATATAAGCATACGTGCTAACAGTAAACGGTAAAAGCCAGTTGGAAAACTGACAGTAACACACCACTGGTGCTAACCACGTTATACTCCGTGATTTATTTCGAACGTCGGTAAGCACAGAGGAATGAGAGGATGTATTTGTTATCTAACTGACTCACAATCGTCATCACAGCACAAGGAAAGTTAGAAGCAAATAGTCTCAAGATCAAAAATCGTAAGACTGATACCGTTAACACAGGAACAGGATCTTATGTAGACTTCGAGGAGCAAGAGATACACCGCCATCAAGACGAGAACAGGCGAATAAAGAAACAACCGCAGTGACGTAGAAGAAGGCGTACAGTAATTATAGTTAAGGCACGTACGTACGGATGTGTGTAGCTCCCACACGTCAATATCTGCGAAAATTAAGGAGCAAAAGTTTCCAAATTTAAAAAAGTTTAAGTAAACTCGCAGGAGAAATGGAAGTCATGGACGTACTGATCGTCTGTTTACCGAGACAGTGACCAAAACTGCAGGAAATGATAATATGTACGAAGGGGTCCGCTCTGACTCATCTTTGATACGGATAACAATATAGAGTGATACGAATCTTTTTGTTCTGTGGCTTAGGGCCTTGTGCATGACGCGCCATATCGTCGCTTAACCTACGGCATTTCTGTAACGTGTTATATCTGTAGTGTATGCTGTTTTTCAACAGATCGTGGTGACTTGACTAGCGGTAGTATGTATATTCGATGTTCTTCGTGACCAAGGATATAGGGAAACTGTACGCAAACAAGAAAGGAAAAACGCACTTTTCGTTGGTCAACGTAAACATAGGTTTCGCTTTTTGTACCCTTTTTGCAAAAACCTGTTTTTCACAAGCTTGCTCATTAAGACAACAAGTGAAGTGCGAAAGTTAAGGATCGATACAGTTAGGATCAATTTCACTGCGGCAACGGCTACCTTAAAGACCTACATTTCCTGGCGTCAAAAGATATGACTGCCATAGCTGGTCTCTTTACTCATCCACCATCCAGAATGTATAGTGCTCAGAAATGTGCTAGTGCATAAATGTGTAAAGGGTAAAAATTTGGCAGTTTGGCGGTAAACGTTATCCACAAACATCACAATGAACGTTACAGCGGATTGTTACATTCTCAGCGAAAGGACCAACAACGAATTACTGGCGAATAATGGCACCAACAAAACGTCCTTTGATTACGAATTAGACTCTTTTAATTACGGAACGTTTACGGTTGAATGGTATGAAATTGTTAAGTGGATAGCATATCCATTCCTTTTGGCTTGTTGTACTGTCGGCAATACGATCAACATTGCCGTGTTGATGTCAGCCAAAAAGCGTACCAGCACCAATGTGTTCATGACAACTATCAGCGTCGCCAACTTGACAGCGTTGTAAGAACAATGGCGAAATTATTTCACGTACCGAACGGGCACAATAATCATTGTGTACTTGTGCAGATGGGCTAACTTCCCAACATATATTTGGGAACTGCCCATCCTTTCTCCGGAGTTCTGGTTGGAAATCCATCGTGCTGTGGGATGGTGGGTGACATATACGATAGCCAAATACCTGCGCGTTTTATGCATGGAAATATGTGATTGGTGGGTCATAACTACTCGTAACATTCAGAAATTCAACCCGTAATGCATTATAATATCTTAAATAATAAAAGATATTTGGAAATAAAATGTTGACAATCCCACATTTTTGAATGCGATGGATAAGTCATTACGATACTTTCAGGACTTTAATTGCATTCGCGGGTGGACGACTGTTAGCCTATACCAATCCGTTTGGAGTGATTCTGACGCACCCCACGCTGCCAGCCCGGCTTACGGTGTGCCTTATCATATTGACTGTTGGCATTGTGACTTCGTATGAGGTTGCTAATGTTTACTGGAAACTTTTCATTATAATCCCGGCGAGCAAAGACCCTACTGAACAAATGGAATTCTTGATGGGAAAGTTAAATCTCACGCCGCACTGGTTATTGCGATGGGCCTCGGCTCATGGCACTTTGATAGTAAGTAGTTTAGTGCACACCGCGCAAACAAAAATTATTAGCTGGAGATTTCATTTTTACCATACTCCGTATTTAAAAAAATCTTGCGGTCTTCGTATGTAATGTGAGAGCACGCGTTAGCAAATAACATATTTTGCACTTGTACAGTATGATATAATGCTGTAAATTTGCATACCATAGTACGTAATAACTCAACCACCTATCAACTCAAATTGAGTTGATAGGTGGTTGAATTAGTGAACTACACAATCCCAGATAGGCAGTTGAGTTACTCAACTACCTATCTGTGATGAAGCAGTTTTTTTGTGATCTTGGCAGGTTTTTAAGAAACTGCTTGGGCTAAATAATTTGTAAACTTTGTTGGAAGTTTTTGGCCTCTGTTAATGTTAACGAGTGGCATTTTACAGGCATTTCTCAGCTTTGAGAAATTTCTTCTCTTGCTGCTGTTCAGCAGTATCCTTATTTGCGCCATTCGCAGAGAATACCGCGCAACACAATCTCTTCTGCATTCCGACCAAACCCGCGACTCTCGCAATAAGCACACCATCTCCCACCATATTCTGCTGTGGGTAACCGTCGCCGTCTACGTTGTCACAAATAGTCCCACTCTGCTAGCCGGTGGTCTCGTGCTGGCCCAGGTTTTTGGGCTGAATATTACACTTATGCACACCAACTATGTTATTCTACCGATCATTTGCGATGTCTCACTGATGGCGAATTATTCGCTGAACTT